ATTAAAAGAAGGGAGAGGGGATTTTAAAATAGTATTTGCTATGACTATGTGCAAGATATTATTTCAAAAACCCTCCCCAGAAGTAAGTATTAATGCTGTTATTTAACAGCTAGAGAAAGCATAATTACATACTTTCTCACTCTGAGGTTGCCCTGATAGAGAGAGAAAGCTATAATTCAGACTGAAGGAGTTCAAAACTCACTACTCATGGTCTTCCCATCCCCTTAGGTTTTTTTTTAAAATGATTAACCTGTAATTATCAAATATTATGATTAATCTATAGTACATTTGTGAAGGAGGTATTTTCAATGTATAAATAAATGGGGGGTTTAATGGAAAAGTGAATCATAAATACTTGAATGATAGTCACATGACTGTTAAACAGGTGGATATGTAAAAGCTGCTGTGACTTATGGCATCATTTTGTGTTCATCAGATTCACTAATAAAGTCTTCCATCACAATCAATTCATACTATGCTCTGTGAAATGCAAATTTTAAAGGAAATGTGAGCTGTGATAATGTTCAACATATACAGAATACAGTCTTCTAAACATAAATCATGGAGAATATATATCACTGTAAAGAATTTTATCAACATTCCAATCATTCTCTAGTTATATTTTGTAAGTACATACTTTCATCTCTAGATATTATCTACCATGAAATCCAATTTTACTCTTAGAGTTTGAACTTCATTATAATGTATGCAAATGAAATGAAACTTGATGTACTTTCTAGGCTTTACATGACCTGTAATTTTAGAGTAAATGTTGATATAAAACAGTGAGCACAATGCATCTTTGTCCTCTTATTTTAAGTGTTTCACTCTTATAGTTCTTCCATTTTCCAAAATATAATTTAAATTCAATCTGTAAATTTTGATCAAGGAAAATGTTTGCTGAGTGATTGATGTAGCTTAAATGTAAACTTAAGATCAATTTGAGGATAATTTGTATTTCCTAATTGATGAGTAAACTATATGTATTAATCAACTTAAGCTGTAATTAATTTCTCATGGCATTCTTTTAGTAGTTTTACAGTATATAAATCTTCTTTGTATTTTGTCAATTTATATCCAATGATTTTTAGCATTTTATGAAATATATATATTTTAATTTAATTTTCAAAATGTTTATACTAACACTGACAGCTACAAATGTGAGTTTCTTCTTAAATACTGAATTCTTTGCCTTTGAACTGCACAGTCAAAGATGAACATAAACACTGAAACCTTCATAAACTTACTCATTTGTCTAGCAGGTCTTTGGGGTCATATTATATGGTTAGTGATAGTGATAATTGTTTTATACTTGAGGGTCATTTGTATAAGTTCTTTATATAAGTTTTATTGAAGGACTGTTTTCATTTTCTATCAAATGTTGCTATTATTTTTCCTGATGCTGAGGTGTAGAAACTTTCTATGTTGTGAATAGTAAATCACTGCTTTGCAAATATTTCCCCATACACCATGTGTTTTATGGGACCTTATTTTTTTTCTCTCTGTCAGAGTTCTAAACCTTTATGTAATCAATTCCTTCTATTTTTGCCTATGTCTTCAGTGTCCTATCAAGTCCTTCAAACTCAAATAATAAATCTTTTCCTCTGAGATTTCTGCTAAAAGTATTATGCTTTCAAGAATTATGTTTATGTCTCTAATATATTTTGAGTGAATTTTATAAAATGTGTGAGAGAAGAGACTACCTTCAGTTTTGCTGATCTATATTGCAGGTTTCCTGTAATCAACAGCCCTCATCAAAGATCAGTTGACCAGAACCATGCTCTTTGGTTCTGGGCATTCTATTAAATTTTGTTGGCCTATATATCTGTCTTCAGTGAAATGCCACATTTCAATTATTGTACTTTATATTATTGCTTGAAATAAGATACTGTTAGACTATCACATTGCCAACTTTATGGTCACCTAAGATTGATTTGAGTTTCAGTATTTATTTTTATTCTCTCTTTTTTTGTCCTTCATTTTTTTACTAGTTCTTTGAGATTTTTTTAACAATGAGTTTTGATCACATTCACCCTCTTTCCCCAACTTCCTTCAGATTCCCACACACTTAAGTTCATGTTGCTTTCTTCTATCTTTGATTCAGTTGAGTGCTGATTCAGTTGGTGCTGTCCACACATCCTTGAATGGGTGGTCTCTGATTGGTTGAGTTACCAGAGGAAACACTACTGAAGAAAGCTGACTTTCCTTCTTCCAGAAGCTATCAGCTCCCAACAGCTTCTCACCTACAGGTGGAAATTCAAGCCATCTCACCTCTCCATGCTGCGATTTTTGTTTAGCCTGAGCTTGCAAAATTCTTAGGCATGCCATAATGACCATTGTAAATCCATTTATGCAACTTTCCTGTTGTTTCTGGAAAACAGCTTGATTGTACTCATCCACTGCCTATGGCACGCACCATTTTTCTGGTCCTTCTTCCATATGGATCCCTGAGCCTTTGGAGAAGGGGGCATAGTATAGATGTTCTTTTTGTGGCTTAGCATTTTACTGTTGTATGGTAATTTGTTTGTGTTCTGACAAATAAAGCTTGCCTGGAGATCAGAGGGCAGACCTAGCCACTAGTTAACCATACAGGCCACGTGGGAGTGGCTCATACCTTTGATCCCAGCACTTGGGATTTCATGCCTTTGATCCCAGCACATGGGAGACTCACACATTTATTCCCAGCACTAGGGAGGTGAAGACAGGATTATAAAGTGAGTGGAGACAGGATCTCAGCCCTCATTCAGTCTGAGGTTTCATAGAGGTAAGAAGACTGTAGTGACTGGCTGCTCTACTTCTCTGATCTTCCAGCAAGCTTTGTCAGAACACAAACAAAGTATCATGCAACATTTTACAATCTCTTATTCCTTATACTTGCTCTATTATGAGTGTTTGCATTAAATACCATCTACTACAAATAGATTCTTCTTTACTGAGGGTAAGAGATGCACTGATATATGGAGATATCAATAGTTCAGTAAGAGCTTTTTCAGTACTATGTCTATTTAGCAAAATAATAGCAGTAGATTCTTCTGTAGTGCCTATGGACTGTCTACCCAAAGGATTGTTACTTTGATAATGGTGCAAGGTTTTACCTTGTGGTGTGGGCTTTGCATCCAATAAGGAAGTGGTTGGCTGCTTCCCTGGTATTCATGCCACTTTTGTTCCTTTGGCTATGTCTTGCCAAGTCATTCATTATTGCCCCTGTCAGAATCCACAGCTACCCAAAATTCATGATTACTTTTTCCCTCTTGTAGCATGATTTTCATACTTCTTGAAAAAATAAATGTCATTGCTAACGTGGTAGAGATTATTTTGAAACTGCACTGCTTTGGGTATCATGCATATTTTTATAGTATTGGTATTTATTTTCCAATCCATCAACAGGGTAGAATTTCTTTTCTTTTACTTGTGTATTCTTTAATTTCTTTGATCATTGTTTGGTAGTTTGCATCATGAACTCTTTGACTAAATTTATTTCTATTTTACTTTTAATGCTATTGAAAATGAGATTGTTTTCCAAACTAACTGTCATCTGGAGTATTCATAGTGAATCTATAGGAATAAACCAATATTTCTGTGCATATATATATGTGTGTGTGTGTGTGTGTGTGTGTGTGTGTGCGTGTGTGTGTGTGTGAACTGTGAAATTAAAAAAAATCTACTTTTAAGATTGTATCTTCTAAAAGTAAAGATTTTACCATTTATTTCCAAATATAGATGGTTTTAATTTTTTGTTATGCATGTCATTATTTATCTTTATGGAGTGTAATATAACCAGAGATAGATAATCACAAACATGATTAATAGTACAAATACTAATTCTATTTCAATTGTAAGAAGAATAAGAAAATAAATTGATATAACGTATTTATTGCATTTTAATTGAAATCACTCACTTGGTCTGAAGAGTTATAGTTTCCCTGGAAAAATGAGAGCTGAAGCTGAGACTTGAAGAGTGAGTAGGAATAAATCAGTAAATGTGTTTTTCACTATTTGAGAATTTCATATATGCATATAATGTATTTTGATAAAATCCACCTCCAATCCACTCCCCAAATGTCCCCATATATCCATCATCACTTTCTCTGTTAACTTTATGTTCTCTGTCCTTGTTTTAAATGTATTTAGTCCACTTAATGGTGTCTGTATGGACATAGGTATAGGATCATCTACTAGAGCATAGGTAGTATTTCAGGGGCTGCTCCTCGAAGATTACATACTTTCCCTCTCCCTGAAGCCATCATTTGCCAATAACTTCTCAGATGGAAATGAAACATTGTGAAACCTCTCATCCATGCTGGGATTTTAACTGACTTCACCTTGTGTAGGTCTGGTACATGCAGGCACAGTCACTGTGCATTCATCTGTACAATGGCTCGGGGTAAATACTTACACTTAGTGACAGCATTGTTCAACAAATGCTTAGAGTATTAGATGCCTTTTAAATTTATATAGCTATTCAGACATAGGAACTGGAAAGGAACACGATGTAAGAAATATAAGTCTTATAATCTACAAAGAACTTTTAACTAAAGCTATTTAATAGTATATACTTGCTTTGTTTTCTAATAAATGCACAGAAATTCTGAAAAAGTGTCTGTATTCATATTAGGATTGATGAAGTTTAGGCTAAGTTAGTCCTCAGGAAGTTAGCTACATAAAATGATCATTTATTGACACCTTCCAAATATAAATGGATGTCTTGGAATCATGTACATAAAACATCTAGCAACATTGACTGACATTTTACATATGGATCCTACAAGCTCTGTAGGGACATGCAGATGCAGGCAGATCTTTGTGAGTTTGAGGCCAGCCTGGTCTACAAAGTGAGTTCCAGGACAGCCAGGACTATTACACAGAGAAACCCTGTCTCAAAAAACCAAAAAAAAAAAAAAAATAAGAAAATTAATATAAAAGAGACATGAAAATAATACATCACTGTTTAAATGACAAATATTATTAGTGATACTTTTTGATCTATTTATTTAAATTAATAACTATATCCAGAAATTTTTCATTAAAATATTTTAGTGAACAATCGAGGCTAATAATAAGAAGAGAAGAAGCACTGAAGAGAAAGAAACTCCCAAGAAGACAATGAAATCAAATCATCTGTGAATAACTTCAAAGATTCCATTCAATATATATGTAGGAGACTAAAAATAATTGTGTAGCAGAAAGACTTGAATGTAATAATATCATTGAACAGAACATTTTAAATGTCTAAAATGAGAAAGTATATGTAATACCTGTTTTACAAGTATATAAAAACTTATTATATGATCTTTCAAAATAGTTTAAAGTGCTTAATTAAGTGTAACATATTAAAATTATGGAAACATTGTAAGTAAAATATTAATAAACAAAATCAAGAAAATGTTAAAAGTATAAGAAGTCATCACAAAATGCAATTTATAATAGTAATGAAAGAATGCTCTATAATTCAATAGTACATACAAAATATTACCAAACATAGCAGATCAAAATAATCTCCAAAAACACTACAAAATTAATAGAATTCAAGTTTAACATTTAAATAGCAACAGTTAGAGAGGTACTGTTCTTATTGTAAAACAATAGCATTAAGACAAGAGAACTTTCATTTCTGCTAATTCATAATAATATTTTAAAATTATCAAACAATTTAATTTAAAATAGAATGCAATACAAAGTATAAAATTTTAGAGTTACTAATTGCCATTCTTTGTAATTCTATACATTATATACAATAAAACACCAAGTAATTATTTTGCAAAAAATATGAGATTTAAATCATTTACAAAGTCATTTGACATTTATTAACTTGTACATTAATTTAAAGAAATCAATTGATTTCAAACAATAAAAAATTATAAGGGAATTGTCCTAGTCTGAGCTCTGTTGCTGTGATAAACCATTCCTACTGTCTAGCTTTCAAAATGAAAGGAATCCTGTCTTACCCTGCTGTGAACTCTGAATGGTCTGCCAAGGTATACCTACAGGTGCATTAGTGGCATAAATATCATGGGGGTAGCAACCCATAAGATGGAACCCATAGTTGCCACCATTATTGAGGCCAAGACCTGTGGAAAGACAGGCCATCACCTCTAAGGGATAGCCTAATGTTATTCTGTTAGACGGATATAGTATTAAACCAACTCAAAATGAATTATTGTTATATCCATAGATAAATGCACCTCTCCACCTTCACCAGAGAAATTTGTTTTAGCAGTAGAAAGTAATTAAAACAAAGACCTACAACTTGTCAAAGTGCAGAGCATAAAAGACTATGGAGTGCTCAGTCCCAGGTGGGAAATCTACATTACACCTCATTGTCCTAAGGCTCAGGGATCAATGTGGAAGAAGGAGCAGAAATATTATAAAAGCCAGAGGTGAGAGATAGCTTCAAGGAAACAGTGTTTTATAGACACATAGGGAAGATGCACACATGAACTTACACAGGTTGTGAGTTCATGGACAAGGCATGCATGTTGGTGGGGGGAGGGAGATACAGGCATGAAGTCCTACCCCTCCCTGAGGAGTTATTAGTAATTGGCATGCGGAGAGGATAGTCAATTTTCTTTAAGTGTATATCCCCCAGTGGGTGGACCATAATTCAGGGCAGGATATTTCTCTGGTCCCAACTCCAAGGGTTTTAGGCAGCATAAATTGGACTTAAAGCTTCAGGAGAAAAATGAAAAGATAATGTAGGTGGATAAGGAAGAGGAATGCATCTAGTAGGAGTTGAAGATGAGTGGCTATGATCAAAATATAACAGTAAAATTTTTATTATCAATAAATTAATAAAAATTTAAAAGAAAACACTCTGACCCTAAGCAACTAGGGAAGAGATGGATTAATTGTATTAGAAACCTATAATAGATACTGTGAGTAGCTAACTGCATGAAGTTAACAGACTAACCCACCTAGATATAAAATCTAGGATATCATTAAGTGTCTAAAACCTGCACAACACAGCATTAGTGGTCTTTGGAGAAATATATTATTATTTTCTTTGTGGGTTGATCAGCACATTCTGGGATGTTTAACCACATCCATGTCTTTCATTTAAAAGTATGTATAACTTTCCCAAGCTGTAATAATGACAACATCTCCAGGCTCTAACAAATGTGTTCAGGGGCAAAGGTTGCTCTTATTTAAGAACAGTTCATACAGAATGTATTAAATTAAATATAGTGGATTGATATTCTTCTTATATATAAAAGCCTTCAAATCTGAGAAGAAAGGACAGTTGTTCAACTTTGGTTGGGCCCATAGAATTCTCTAAAATGACTTGAAGTAGATTTATATCTCTTGCTTTTGAATAAAAGAAATTCTGATTATTCCAAAGCTAATGTTAAAACACAATGCAATAGAAATTATCAAAGCGCTAGAAGAAAAGAATAACAATGCATTTTACATTATTTTAAGGAATATTCATCATGCAGGATGCCTTTCTGTATGCTCTGACTTTATGTTGCTCCCATTGGTTAATAAATAAAGCTGCTTTGGTCTGTGGTAGGGTAGGATGGAGCCAGGTGTGAGATCAAAGCAGAGATACCAGGGAAAAGAGTGGGCCGATTTAGGGAAGATGCCATCCAGTTGCCCAGGGAGCAAGATGCCAGCAGACCTATAATGTCACAGCCACATGGCAATACATAGATTAATAGAAATGGGTTAATTTAAATGTAAGAGCTAGCTAGTAATGAGACTGAGCCATCAGCCAAACATTTATAATTAATATAAGCCTCTGAGTGATTATTTACTAATGGTCACAGGAAAGGGAAGGACAGAAAAAAGCCTCCATTTATAAAACCATTTGTTCAAGATTTTTCTTACCTCATTACCAAGTAAGCCAGCGAAGTTACAATCAGGTTCCAAGAAAATCCCAAGAGTATACAGGGACTATTTATATAAATACATACAGACAAAACTAGTTTAAGTTGTTTCTCCACTATCTAGAATTCTTCTGTCTATAAACAATTAAGAATTATTTAGCATTCTGCCCATTATCAAAAATTTAAAGGATTGTAGCATTATAAACACTCAATAGACAAATAAAAATAGAAATTAATTTTAATTCATATCACAAAAAGCTACTTTTCATGTTATGGAAAATATTTTTACAAATCAACAAGGAAAACAGAATAAATTCAACAGGATCAAAGAATAGAAATGGCCAATAGATACAGCTGACAAAAGCACGTGAAATGTTTTGACTTATTCATAATAAAATTAATACTAGTTAAAATTGTACAATCAGGGGTGGAGAGATGGTTCAGAGGTGAAGAACACGATGTGCTCCTGCAGAAGACCTAAATTTGTTTCCCAGCACCCATAATAGGCAGTTTACAGTCATTAGTAAATTCTGCTTCTAGTGATACTACAGCTTTTTCAGACCTTCATGAAACATATGTACATAAACCTCCATACAGATGCAAACATACAGATAATTTAAAAAATTAAATAAAATATTAAAAATTCACCACCATAATGTTATCCCCTTTCCTAGACTTGGAATAATCTGTGGTGATATACTGTGCTAGTATTATGTGTAGGGATGCGAACTTATGTTGAGAAACAAGCAGTATCCATTAGGAAAGGAAGAGAATGACACAATGACTATATATAAAAATATATGTATTCCTGCAGAAGAATCAGAATATATGCATGCATAGAATAATGTTATCTTTCTAAACAGTAACCGAAAGTGCTCTGAGTGTATTCTAGATATGTATCCACATTGTTTGGCGTAATATGTTCAGTGAAGATGTTTGTTGTGGTATTAGTAGTAGTACCAAAATTCTAAATTCAACGTGTTTATTTGCAGGAACTAGTGAAAAATGCAGTACACCTGTAAAGAAATTCTATTCCACAATGAAAATGAAAGCACAATAGTTGTACTCTTGAAGAATAACCACGACACAAAACACTATGATTAGTATTAAATCTGTTGTTTGTTTGAAAACAAAGAACACAAGCAATTATAACTGAAAGACTATCCCAGAGTAGGAGGAATACTGTCTTTCATGCATCAACATTTTGTGCTTTTAAATTCTACCATGTGAATGGCAGTAAGATATTCAAACTTAGTAAATGTAACATTAAAATTTAATAAAGGTATAGTGATTAGAAGCAGCCCAGTTGAGCCAATAAAGTATATACTGCCAAGCTAACCCATTTTTTTAAAAAAACTATGTATTTGCTGATTGATTGATTGATTTAATATGTGAGTGTGTGTGTGTGTCTGAGTGTTCATATGTGCACCACATGTACATATGTGTCCAAAGAGGCTATAAGAGAGCATTATATTTCATGAATCTGGAGTTACAAGAAGTTGTGAACTACTCAATATGGGGGCTGGGAAACTAACCAGGGTCCTTGGCAAGAGCAGTAAGTGCTCTTAACCACTGAGCCATCTCCCCAGCCTCCTGGCCATTTTTCTAGTTTGCCTAAATAGTATTACCCATATTACATTTTCACCTCTAACATTTTCATGTTGTATTTTTCACCTGTGTTCATCATTAGGAAAAGATTTGACTGCAATTATTTTATATATCTTAGAGCCAATCAGCATACACAATCATAGGACATGGAAAACACAACTAAAAATAATTTATATCATATTTGCTGTAAAATAAATGTTGAAGAAAGCATCATGTAAGTACAATAAAAATACCATAGAATTTTCCCCTTTTATAAATAGTTTTAATTTTTATAAAAATGTCTCTTAATCATTTTTACTGTGGTGTGGCACTTAGGATCTTAGTTCATCCTGGAATAGATCTTTTTTGTGACCAGAGAATTTCAGTCACTGTATGGATTCATTCCCTACATTTTCATATCATACTACTCATATAGCATATGCAATGCAAAATTTTGTGCCAGGCTTGAATCTTATGAAGGCTGGAATACCTTTCTCATAATGAAGAATGCTTAACTGTGACCTAATTGTTTATACAGAGAAACAAATGGATATGCTATTTTTCCCATATCCAGTAAAACACACAGGACAGTAATCAGCTACCCAATGGCTTGCTGTGCATGTTCCTCCCCCAAGATGATGACTCCCTTTCAAATACATATAACTTTGTTATCATTTTTCCTTCAGATAGAGATTCTAGTTGTATTTTTCCTTTCAGGAAAGCTTTGGAATTTGGTCATTTTCCATAGTCCCTATAAATTTGTCTCTTGGCTGAGAGAGACCTAGTTATCATTAGGAAGAAAGTAGGTCTCAAAATAAAGTTGAAATTAAAGGGGAGAGGATTAGTAGAATGAAGAGGTATTCATTTATTCTAAAAATATTTTTTCTCATGTTAAACCATTGCCAGGCACTGGGCTAAATGCTATAAATACTGTGATAAGTAAGGGTGAATTGCTGCTGCTATTATATTCTAAGATTATTGCTTTACTCTAAATCATTTTCACATTTTCATAGAAACTGCCAGAGGCATCATCTACTGATGCGTCCATGTGTTTTAAAATTTTGTCAATGACTATATCATATTAGTTTGAACATCTCTTTTTGATGATATCTCTTTGATATCTGCAAAGAAAAATTACTTCAGGCTTGAAGCTCTGATACTATGAACTGTAGCCCATGGGGGCTGCCTGAGAGGACAAAGTGATTTCTCAAAATACCTGGAGGGATTTTGTGATGGTCTTCCTTTGAGATCCCCACTCTTGTTTTCTAGTTATAATTCTAATGTATAATTATGGTCTTTACCATAATTTCTATATTCGTCTTAAAGTGTTAATTTGGTTTCAAAGATGTTGCCACTGTACTTACTCATAACCTGTCCTCGTATAACAATGCCTGCTTGATTGTGGTTTACTCTTTGCATCAGCTGTTGGTGTTTTCTCCTCCATGTTCCCCAAAGACTTTAAGCTTTCTAGAACATAGTGTCTGTTAGAAGACAACTTAATACTTTGGAAATCAGTATGGTGGTTTCTCAGAAAATTGGAAATCAATCTACCTCAAGACCCAGCAATACTACTCTTGTGCATATACCCAAAGGATATTCAACCAGAACACAAGGATACTTGCTCAACTATGTTCATAGCAGCATTACTCATAATAGCCAAAACCTGGAAACAACCTAGATGTCCCTCAATCAAAGATTGGATAAAGAAATGTGGTATATCTACACAATGGAGTTTTACTCAGTGGGGGAAAAAAACAAAACAATGACATCATGAAATTTGCAGGCAAATGGATGGAACTAGAAAAGCTCATCCCGAGTGAGGCAACTCAGACCCAGAAAGACAAACATGGTATGTACTCACTCATAAGTGGATATTAGATGTAAAGCAAAGTATAAACAGACTACAATCCTTTGCCCCAGAGAACCTAGGTATCAAGGAGTACCCTAAGAGGGATGCATAGATCTCCCTGAGAAGAGGAAATAGATGAGATGTTAAGGAGAAACCTGGTGCCAGTGAAACTCCCAGGAAACCACAAGGATCACTTGACCCCAGCTAAGACTCCTAGCAATAATGGAGAGGGTGCCTGAATTGGCCTTACCCTGCAATCAGATTGGTGACGACCCTAATTGTCATCATAGAGTCTTCATCCAGTACCTGATGGAAGTAGAAGCAGAGATCTGTCAGGGACAAGGACAGAATCTCTAATTAGTGGAAAAATACAGACCCCCCGATAAGACAGGGAACTAGATCATCTTACAGTAGGGTTGCCTAGCAACAGGACATTGAGTCAGAGCCCTTGACCCTTTCACCCTGTAAACATCCTATACAAACATCCTGTTAGCTTGCCCCACCTTATGCAGATGACAGCTTCTTGCTCCCCCTACCCTGCAGGAACTATATAAACCCTTCTGGAGAAAAATAAAGTTGCACCTTGATCAGAATCTTGACTTGGTGTATTTCATTTGTGTCTCCTGTCCCTACATTCCATCCTTAGGGTGATCAAGGACCCGTTGAAGCCCTGCTGGCTGGGGCAGAGATCCACAACCAAGCACTGGGCGGAGCTCTGGGAGTCCACTCGAAGAGAGGGAGGAGGAATTATATGAGCAAGGGGGGTCAAGATCATGACAGGAAAACCCACAGAAACAGCTAATCTGAGCTTGTAGGAGCTCATGGACTCTGGACAGACAGCTGGGGGAGCTGGCATGGGACCGACCTAGGCCCCTTGCATCTGGGTGACAGTTGTGTAGCTTGGTCTTTTGTGAGACCCTTAGCAGTGGGACCAGAACCTATTCCTGTTGGATGAGTGGCTCTTTGAAACCTATTTCCTATGGTGGAATGCCTTGTTCAGCCTTGATGCAGCAGGGAGGAGCTTGCCGTGCTTTGTTGTTGATTCCCAAGGGAGACCTTATCCCATTTGAATGGAGAGGGAGGAGGGGTGGTTGGGGGTGGGTAAAAGGACAGTGGGGGAGGGAATAAGAGGAATGAAGGGAGGGGAAACTGTGGTTGCTATGTAAAATAAAATAAAGAAAAAGAAGATGGCTTAAATATAGGACAGCCATATTTAGTAAATAAAAACACACTATATCCACTTAGATATAAATTTCATAAAGACCACACTTAAAAAAAACCACAAAAAAACAAGTATCAGTCTTTGTCAATACTAGCAATATTTATATTAAAAAAGTCATTGAAATTTAGCAAGGATTTTGTTTGGAAATCTTGCTGTAAGGATGTAGCATAGACAGACGACTCTATAATTCTATCATCCAATTGTTTTTGTATTGTGTCTGTGTGTCAGTGTGTGTATGTGTATACATGCATGTACAAATATCTCCCTAATCACTTTCTACATTTCTTTTTGAAAAAGAGTCTTACACTGAACATGAAACTCATTAATTCAGGTATCTTCAGCTCTCTTGACTATCCAGCAAACTTCACTCATGCACATGTCTCTTCTTCCTCAGTTCTAAGATTGCAAATGTGTGCTACAGGTCTTCACATTCTATTATATAGGTGCTTGGGATCCTTGTACTTGTACAGCACGAGCTTTACTCAATGAACCATTCCCTCAGCCATGCAATCATTTTAATGAGGAAATAATTTTATCACTAGCAATGAGAAAAAAATAAACTCACTCTTATTATCAATTACTATATATTTAGTAAGATTTTATGTCTTTATATCAATATCTATGTATACATATATATTTATGTGTATATTATATATACATATATATATATATATATATATATATATATAATCATGTATTTTAAATTGTATTTCTTGGTACATCTTAATTTTTTCCCTCATGAATACATCAAAGGAAAGGAAAGATACTTATTCAGTAATGACATCATACTGCTATATGTGATGGAACTGTCCTAAGCAGTGATGGTAGTGTGACAATGAATTAGAAAAACAGGCATTTGGGCTGGCTCAGCCATTAAGACTAGGCCCACAACCAAAAATATAAGAAAAACAGGCATCATAGAAATTAAACTTGATAAAATACTGGCAAACTGAATCCAAGAGCACATCAAAAAATTCATCCACCATGATCAAGTAGTCTTCATCCCAGAGATGCAGGAATGGTTCAACATATGAAAATCTGTCAATATATTATAATATGTAATCCATCCTATAAACAAACCCAAAGGAATAAAACCCACATGATCATCTCCTTAGATGCTGAAAAGCCTTTGGCAAAATCCGACACCCCTTCATGATAAAGGTCTTGGAGAGATCAGGAACACAAGAAACATACCTAGTATAATAAAAGCAATTTACAGCAAGCCAACAGCCACCATCAAATTAAATAGAGAAAAAACTCAAAGTTCCACTAAAATCAGGAACAAGACAAGGCTGTCCACTCTCCCCGTATTTATTCGATATAGTACTTGAAGTTCTAGGTAGATCAATAAGACAACAAAAGATCAAATTGGAAAGGAAGAGGTCAAACTTTTGCTATTTGCAGATAATATGATAGTATACATAAGTGACTCCAAAAATTCTACCAGGGAACTCCTACAGCTGATAAACACCTTCAGTAATAATGTGGCAGGATACAAGATGAACTCAAAAAAACCAGTAGCCCTCTTATATGCAAATGATAAATGGGCTGAGAAAGAAATCAGAGAAATATCACTCTTTACAATAGTCACAAATAACATAAAATACCTTGGGGTAACTCTAACCAAACAAGTAAAAAACTGTATGACAAGAACTTTGGGTCCTTGAAGAAAGAAATTGAAGAAGATGTCAGAAAATGGAAAGATCTCCCATGCTCACGGAGAGTTAAAACCAACATAACAAAAATTACAGTCTTACCAAAAGTAATCTACAGAAATTAAACTTGCCACATTCTTATAGAAACAGTATCAAATCATCAAGCCAACAAATAACCGTATAGTATGAAAACCTGTGATGACAGAAACCTGCACAACTTGGAAGCAAATACGACCAAGATGTACTTCAGGGAAGAATGGTTAACAATATGCATGAGGCAGAGGCAACAAGGTTCTACAAGGAAGACTCTCAGTGCCTTCTGTTATGCACATATTTAACGGCTTCCAACGGAAACAGGGTGTTTCTAAAATGTGAGGTACAATGTTCAAACAAAAGGAGGAGGTGAAATTTGAGTGAATGATGGTGGATCTCACAAAATTTCTATAAAAATTGAAAACATAAATCTTGTAAAGTTTTCTAGAGAACAGCCATGATTGTATTTCTCCCATTATTTTATGGAGAGTCCTATTTAGAAGATTTTTTAATAAAAGTTTGATTCTATTAAAGTTTATCATGTTAATTTTCATGTAGCACAGCTTCTGTTCACAATACATTTCTGTTTCTTACTAGGTCTCCTTTGGTTTACAGATCTCAGAGTCGATGGAGGATACAACATAGTGCTGCTCATTTCATCAGAGGAATCAAAGAAAGATATCATATTCTTCTGTTTAATCATTTACCTATCTCCAGTTCTACCAAAATGTAAATATTTTATTCATGTTCAAAACTCCTCATTTCTCTTTTTCTACTCATATGCCGAGAAATATGATTTTGTTATCTAACTTAAATGTATTTAGTTTGTAGACAATATTCCTTGGAATGCTGAAGAAATTGAAATAAATTTCTAATTCCAAGATTTTGAAATAAGTGATGAGGAAAAAAAATCAGTTTTCATGTTATTTAATAGACTCATGAAAACAGTCACTGTGGAAACCAGAGATGAGTCCATGAAACAAAAAGAGATGAGAACAGAGGTCTTGAGCTGAGAATTTGAGTCTTAAATTTAAATGTTGACATAGATTTTAGCCCTTGATTTTCTAAAACTAAATTACTAAATTTAGTATAGATTACACAGTCCGAAAAGTGATAATTTTGACAAAATTCTATGCTGTCTTAGTTTCCCCATATTTCTTCTGTCTTTTCCTCATTCCCTTCATATCTGTCACTGCGTCTTTCATCTTCTCCCTTCTTCACTTCTTGCCTCCCTCCCTCCTTTCCTCTCTTTCTCCTTCCTCTCAGGCCATTCTCTCACCGTCTCCCTCCTTTAATGAATTTTATTCTCCCTCTTTTTTTTGCTGCTGTTAATCAGTATTTCCTTTGGGGAGAAATAAGAAATTATAATGGTACTTTCAGGGGAATAAAAAGAAATAGAAGAAAATATCCTTAGCTTTTTAATTCTTTTTTTTTTTTTTTTTTTTTTTTTTTTTTTTTTTTTTTTTTTTTTGAGACAGGGTTTCTCTGTGTAGCTTTGCGCCTTTCCTGGAACTCACTTGGTAGTCCAGGCTGGCCTCGAACTCACAGAGATCCGCCTGGCTCAGCCTCCCGAGTGCTGGGATTAAAGGCGTGCGCCACCACCGCCCAGCAGCTTTTTAATTCTTAAAGTGTTCCTTAACAATAAGAGAATATTACAATACATTGAAATCTAAGATGAAAGTGATAACATTAAAACACTCTAACTAGTTAAGTGAATATATGTATATAATTCTTATTTATTTTTGAAAAAGTACTTATATAATTGTAAATACAAAATCAAAGTTACATAGAAAATAAACACTAGTGTGTATATCTACAAACCCAAGAAGTTATTGTTACATTTGATTTTCAGATTCCTAAACAACTGAAGAAGAAAATTCACTTCTAGTGTCTTAGGCACTCCAACGTCCAGACTCATTTTTCTTACCATTTGTCATTACCACATAACATGTACCTGCCACTTTGAGGAGCTGTACAACTTTTTTCTTATCCGTTACTGTTTGCATTAGCAGCATCTTCAATAGAGGGGTGCTCTTAGAGAAACAAAACAAGAAATTTCTAGTAAATATAAAAACACAATTCAAAAGGAATTTGCTTTTGTTGTTTTATGATATTAATAATACAACACTATTATTGAAATTTGTGCCTACGTAGTGTTGTGCTGGAACAATAGAGAGAAAAACAATGATTTCTGAGAACTCAATACTTTTGTTTGCAAAATTAGTTCATGCATAATCCTCAAATTAGATATTTAGAATTTATCTTTTTTATTTTCCTCTTTATAGACTAGGAGCTAGGATTTAAGTGTTAAGGAGTTTGTCCAGGTCTTATCATCAAGAAATCAAGAATCAGTTTTCAAAAAATGTTCTACTGTATGATAAGAACATCAAGGCTTTGAAGAAAGAAACTGTAGGAGATATAAGAAGATGGAAAGATTGTTCATGGAACAGTAGGATTAGCATAATAAATATGACAGTCTTATCAAAAACAATCTACAGATTCAACATACTCTCCATCAAAATTTCAACACAATTCTTAATAGAACTTGAAAGAACAATTCTCTACTTCATATGGAAACTGAAAAAAATCCAGTATAGTTAAAAACAATTCTGTACAAGAAAAGAACTGCTGGAGGTATCATCATCCCTGATTTAAAGCTCTACTACAGAGCTATAGTAAGAAAAAACAGCATGGTACTGGCATAAAAACAGACAGGTGAATCAATGGAATTGAATGGAAGACCTAGACAAAAATCCACACACCTATTGGACTCCTGATTTTTGACAAAGAAGCCAAAATTATACAATGGAAAAAAGAAAGTATCTTCATCAAATGGTGCTGGCATAACTGGATGTCAGCATGTAGAAAAATGCAAATAGATCCACATCTATCATCCTGCACAACACTCAAATCCAAATGGATCAAAGCCCTCAACATAAATGCAGTTACACTGGACCTGATAGAAAAAGTGGGAAATAGCCTTGAATACTGTGATATAGGAGACAACTTCCTGAATAGAACACCAGTAACACAGACATGAAGACTGACAATTAATAAAAGGAACCTCATGAAACTAAGATGCTTCTCTAAGGCAAAGAACACTGTCAATATGACAAAATGGCAGCCTACAGAATGGGAAAAAAATCTTTACTAACCCCACATCTGACAGATGGATGATCTCCAAAATATGTAAAGAACTCTAATATATATAAAAAAACTAGACATCAAAAAAATCCAATTAAAAAATGGAGTACAGACTTAATCAGAGAATTCACAACAAGAATCTCCAATGACACAGAAACACCTAAAGAAATGTTCAACATCCTTAGTCATCAGGGAAATACAAATAAAAAAAAAAAAAAAAACTCTGAGATTCCATCTTAAAGGTTTAAGAATGACTAAGATCAAAAACACAAATGGCACATTGGAGAGGATGTGGAACAAGGGGAACACTACTCCATTGCTGATGGGAGTATAATCTTATACCGCTACTTTGGAAAACAATATGTTGATTTATTAGAAAACTGAGAATCAATCCATCTCAAGAGCCAGGTATATCAATCTTGGGCTTATACACAAAGGATGCTCAATCATATCACAAGGACACTTGCTCAGCTATGTTCATAGCAGTTTTACTCTTAATAACCAGAACCTGGAAACAACTTAGAATGCCCCTCAATTCAAGAATGAATAAAGAAATTTAAGTACATTTACACAATGGAGTATTACTCAGCTCTTACAAACACTGACATCAGGAAATTTGAAACCAAATGGATGAAACTAGAAAAACTCATCCTGAGTGAGGTAACCCAGACCCAGAAAGATGAACATGGTGTGTACTCACTCATAAGTGGATATTAGCTGCAAAGTAAAGGATAACATGCTACAATCCACACATCTGGAGAGGCTAGATACAAGGAAGGCCCAAGGGTGGATGCATGGATCTCCCTAGGAAAGGGAAATAGAAGAGATCTCCTGAGTTTACTGGAGATGGGTAGGAATGGGAACTTGAGGAGTCAGGTTAGGAGGAGGGTGGAGGGGGAGACTAATTAAAGAGAGGACGGAAAAGGGGGTGCATTTCAGGGTTAGGTATAACCTTTTTGCAAGAGAAACTCCCATGAATCTATAAGGATGACACAGCTAAGATTCCTAACAATAGTGGATACATAGTCTGACCTGGCCCTCTCCTGTGATCAGAGAGCCCTAATCCAGTAACTGATGGAAACAAATGCAGAGACCTACAGCCAAACATTAGCCTGAGTTTGGGGAATCCAGCTGAAGAGAGGGAGGAAGGAACGTAGGAGCCAGATGGGTCAAGGATTTTACATGAAATCCCACAGAAATGACTAACATGGCTCATAGGAACTCACTGAGTCTGAACCAGCCACCAGGGAGCCTGCATGTGACCAACCTAAGCCCTCTACATATATGAGACAGTTGTTTAGCTTGGCCTACTCATGGAGTTCCTAACAGTGGGAGCAGGGGTTATCCCTAATGCTTTGTCTGGCTCTTGAACCTATTCCTTATATTGAATTGCCTTGCCCACCCTTTAATTCAAAGGAAGATGCTTAATCTTACAGCAACTTGATATACCTTGATTTGTTGATACCCAGAAGAGGCCTGCCCCTTTCTGAACAGAAACAGGGCAGGAGTGGATTGAGGGGTAGGCAGGCAGAGGGTGGGTGGGGGTAGGAAATGGGGAATGAGGAGGGTGGGGAAACTGAGGTTGGGATGTAAAATAAATAAAAAACAAGCTGGTCTAGCAGTCTGATATCAGAGGGATGTCCTACCATACCCTTAGGTAAGGGTCTCTGAGAATAATTTCCATGAGATATTCATCTGGGCATTCAGTCTCTTGGCATAAGAGAATTAATAGTGACGAAGGATCATGCAATGAGAAGAAGCATTTCTAGATTTGTTATGTATGTCAAGAGTGTTGTTAGGACAGGCTCTTATTCCAGAAAACACACACCAAAGCAGCAGTAATTTCCATGTACTGAAATACTAACACTGTTTCTCACTGTTTGCTCTGTATTTGGGATAAAATAAAAAAAATTTAGAAGGCAATTCTCTGTTTTTCCTTTATGGAGAATAGCAATAAGTGACCTTGACTTATTAATAACATTTTCTTTGAGTTCAAATCCCATGTTATGCTTGATTTTGTTTTGAAATCCTATGGAAGATGACTTAATATGAAAATCCTTCTAGTTCTGCTATAAAATCCTCTATGAAGATACCAATTTATAAAATTAATGAAAGATATGTATGAAGATTTTTTGAAAAGTCACTGATTGATTATTCAATGGGTCAATAACAATAGACTTCCAAAATATTTATCATCTCACGGCTTCATTGGCATCTGAGAAACACAATACCAGAGATGGGTGTGTCTAAGCTGTGAAAGTGACTGTCATGCAATCATCCTCCAGACTTTCTACAAATATTTATGGGGTTTATTACCAGAATTGCCAATCTGGACAATAAAAGACATGTAGCAGGTGTAGTTCTTTTTAATATTCATGTAAGTAATTGAAATAACAACTGACTGCCTTCTATTTGGTAGAACTTTGTTTGGAATGTGTTACTTAAACAAAAATTCCTTTCTTAAGAATATTACATTTCAGTACAGAGGAAAAATGCACAATAATCAATTACGATCGCAGTTGATTGAATTAGATGATATTTTAGGCTGAGTTAACAACGAAAAAGGGAAAACAACTTTGAGTCAAGATCACCAGGGCAGTGATTTTCAGATACAATAAACAGAATTAAAACCAAGGAGGTAAGGTATTTTTTTTTTTACAATGAATTGAAGGAAAACAAAGGGTTAACCTAGTGATAACTTGTTAACAGCATTCGTGAAACAAGGAGTGTGTAAAAGCTGAGACAAAGCTATAGTTTTAAATATCATTGAGCAATTTAAGATTATCTAATGGTGTTCTCCTTCTCCACTGAACATAATTCAAATGATCAGCACTGGAATTTCATTTGCACATTAACTTTTAGAGCATAGGAAGCCACATGTGATGTGCAGAGATGGCTTCATCTTTTCTGAGGCTTGGGGATGCCATCTCCTCCATTAGTCTTGGAAATAGCAGAGAATTGAATATGCGTAGGTATTTGAAAACCACCTGTATCTATTCATAATTGTAGGTATAGTACTTGTAACCCACAAAGTCTGTTTTAAGTTGTCCTAAATATGGACAATATGGCCATAGTTATGATCTTTGTGAGACACTTTCTTTGAGGAACCACTGGTTTCTCTAAGTTCACCAATCATCTTCACAGTGGGGCCTAAGACAAAGCGCAGAAATCAATGGGCTCTGCCTGGTCCAGAAAGTCTCATGTTTCACCAAGAGTCATTTTAAATTAGGGCCTGAGAGAGAAGAACAAATTCATATATCGTACTTAAAGTTCCTAAAATTGTCTTTAGATGCAGAAATGTGAAAATGAACACATTTTTGCAAACCCTACCTTTTAACTTTTGAAAGTAACACACAAGTAGATATTACGATGCCATTTTCAAAGTGTCTTTTAGGAGATTCTCCTTCCCTTCTCCTCTCCTGACTTTCCACTCCCCTGATAACCTACCCCAGTTATTTTTCCACTTTGATGGTGCTTGAGTCCTTCTGTCCTCTCCTTCCCTTAGCACCTCTTTCCACCTTATTTCCATTTTCTTTGTAGCTTTTTAGGATCTTCTTTTTTTTTTTTTTTTTTTTTTTTTTTAAAGCTTTACCTACATTTATAGCCATTTCTGCATCACACGTTACAGGGTAGGATCTGCACATAAGAGAGAGCATACTGATTTCGTATTCCTGGATTTAGACTCCCTCACTTAATGCTACACACCTGAGGCCCATCATTTCTTCCCTGTAAATTTCATAATTTCGGTTTTCTTTACAGCTGAATAACAGTTAATTATGTACATATGTCACATTTTCATTGTCCGTTCATCTGCTGGTGGAAATCTGCATTACTCTTTTGTTTAAGCCATACAAGTAATTTATAGGAATCCCTTTTATTCTTTTTTTTAAATATAATTTAAAGATAACCTCAGCATTTTTTTTTGATAGTCCTAGGCTGTACTAGGGGTAGCAGAGGAGGGGAAGTCAAGCCATTTGAGGAAGAAGTAATACTTTTAAGTAAGTGCCACAGAGGAAGAGTTTTAATGGACAGAGAAAGAATCGTTTTTAAGAAGTGCCGACAAATGCAAAATGGCATTACTAATGAGCAAGACTATTAAACACACTGGTCTTTCTAACCACTCAGGTTTCTGAATCATCTTGGGGTTCCTTGACTTTCTCTCTGTCTCTGTCTCTCTCTCTGTATGTCTCTTTGTCTCCCTGTCTGTCTCTGTCTCTGTCTCTGTCTCTGTCTCTGTCTCTGTCTCTCCCTCCCTTCTACCTTCCAGCATTGACACCCCTTTTCCCAATCACGGTCAGGAGTTTCAGTACTCTCTTCAGAGAGAGGCTGATTATCTACCTGCTCCCCCAGCTTCTCTCTGAGTGACATGCCACCACCCACGCCTCCCGGTACAGCTCTGCTTCTTCTCCATCTCTGGGTGGGAATGAGCTACCGAGGAAGTCCAAGACTACCCTGGCCTGAACCCCGAGACCACGAGGCGTTAGCAACAGTGTTCACTCACTGAGCCCAGGCGAGCCTGCGGCCCCGAGCCGCACTCTGCAGGAGTAGGAGCCAGCCCAGCGCTGCGCTTCCAGCTGCGTCTGCCTGGGCGCAGCACGTGCTCCAGGCGCTGGCGCGAGAGAGCGAGCGCCACCACCGAGGGCCCGCAGCCGTTCTGCTGGCTGCCACTACTGCTTCGATCGCAGCCACTAGCGATTTAGCAGCAGCCAAGGCCGCTACGAAAGCGCAGGGAGCTTATAAGGAGCTGCTGGCCAGGGGAACAAGGCTCAGGGCGCGCACCTGGTAAGGACAGCGCTGTTTTTCTTTCTCTCAGCTGTAGAGTTACTAGGGATGTAGGATGCCGCCGGAGCCCCTCCCCCAGCGCAGGGATGAAGAGTGAGCGAGCAAGGGGCGGGAGCTTGGACTAAAGGGACCCAGGAGGGCAGGTGGTGGGCAGGTGGAGGACAGGTGGAGCCAGGGACGCTAGGAGGTCCTGTAAGTTTAGGAAAGTCACCCTGCAAGGACATGTGCCCTGTAAATCAGACATGAATTTAGAGTAAGGAGCCTGGGCTACAGTGGTATGGCTAAATGGGAGGTTTCTGAACATCTTTTTGTTTTCATTTGCGTAACTGAAGGATTTCAGTGGGCTTGTTTCCATAGAAAAATAACTAAAATAATCAGAGACAGAGGGAAAAAAAAGCCAACTGATGCCGCCCCCCCTCCAATCCCGTCTCATGCTGGTACATGTGCAATGATAAAGCATGCATTTAGCAAGGTAAGGGGATTTTAGACCGCTAAGGATATTAGATGTTTGGGGGCTAATAAGAGCACTTGCTGATGCTGCACCCCAAATCGAGGCAGGAAAGGAGATTATGGATGATTTTCAATATCAGTATTACAATTCTAAAATGACACTTACGTGACTACAATTATCAGGAATGAGAGGTTTTCTAGAATCATGGGCCCATTTAAGAGATATGTTAGCACATCTGGACCTTTAAAACCAAGTTTATTTATTTCCAGCAGTGCACGGAGATGTTTTTTGACCCTTAATTCTCTGATAGAACTTTCACAAAGGGTGATGACAGAGACCATGGAGACCAAGAGGAAAGAGAAGGGAGTTGAATAGACTGAATGAGCTATGTGGGATGGGATAGAAAGAATAGTTCTGACTGTCAGATTTAGTATCAATGTTCATTCAATCACACCCCGAGAGGCCCCTAGGCCATTGTCTAGGAAAATAGGTGACCTTGAACAAGTCTATCCAACACTGTATACTCATTCTCTCCATCAGGAGACTGTAGAGAGTATACTGCAGTTTGGGACAATGAAGTCTCATGAAATAGTGTTTTTGTATAGGATTGGAGAATTGCATAGGAAAAGGGGGAAGGGAGAATATTCAGGAAATATAGACAAATGGGTTGTGAAGGTGTTCTCTCTCAAAGTACCATAAACAGCTATAAGTCTCTCATAGTTCTTTGGAGGATGCATGCTGAAAGGTCGGTGGGAACGGGTGAGGCCAGCAAGCATTCAGCCACCATTCGAAGATTCTGGAGTTCTGAGAGCTGTTTGGAGAGGTTGAGATGCACAGAACTTAAAGTTACACATTTGTGTTTGTTTATGTATCTTATTGTCTTATTAAATAGCATTTGAAAATATGTTTTTGTGACCAGCTATGAAGTTTTTATTTTTTTTTTTTTGATTGAAGATTTGAGATGTTATCTAGAACTGATTATAACAAGGAAATTGACACGCCAAGTTCAAGTTTGGTCATTTGGTGTGGCAAAAGACGGTTTGGGAATGAGATAGGAATGTTCTGTAATATAAGCAGAGGAGTTGGGGAGGGAAGAGAAAAGGGATCTTTCTCCTAGGAGATACATGTCTATACTCCCAGGGGCCAGCTGGTACCTTCCATGTCTTGGCCTCTTCCACTTGACTGAAGAAGAAATGTCTATCCCTTCTGCCTTAACAGATTCATTCTTAGGATTTGGAGATT